ATAACTAATGAAAGAGGAATGAAAACCGTGTTTACATATGCTCATGTAAAATGGCTTTACGGCCAATCAGAGCACGCGTACTATTTGAATTATTTTATAAAGTCTCCTTATCAACACCTTAGGAAATGCATAGAGAACAGTATGGAGAAAATGCAAACTGATGCAAGCGTTAAAAGGAATAACAGAGGTCTATCAGCAATTTAGTTTAGAAACATTTTGCAAGGAAAAAAAAAGGTAAATATTTTATTTCTTTATGAGGTCCACTTCGAATGGCAGCAGATCCTAATGTGCATATATGTTCCAATAGCAATGTAACTAGGAAGTTACACATATTACACGTTCTGGAGTATGTGATTTCAAGTTAAAATCTTAAGTTTTCAGCCACTCACACAATAGCCAGCCAAGGGTAACCATAATTAATTTTCACCCTGTGAGAGAGTTTTCAACCAAAATAAATCATTCAAAATCCCATACCGTGACAAATAATTTACCAATCAAAAATTACCTTCGACATGTAAATACAAATTTTATTGGAAACAGGTAAAAAGTTTGATTATTTCATTTTTTTTGATAACCAAAAGTGCACTCATGATTAAGAAAAATAAAAGTGCCCTCTGTCTCAGCCAATCAGCATTCAGTAATTTTGCCCCACTGGTGATAACATTTATCCACCTGAATGAACTAAGAACCTTCCCTCTTTGACTTTAAGGAGTTAAAGTAGCAGTGATTAGGGCAGAAAATCTCCTTCAGACAATAAGTCAATGTGTCTAGTGGACATGAGCTGAGAACTAGGATTTCATCTACTGGTAGACATGCACTCTCAAATCATGGTAGAATATCAAATTCTCAGGGAGCCTGCATGTATATAGATATACATGTATAGCCTCAAATACGTATTATGATACATATGATACATAATATTCCTTAAAATATGTAGCTTTCTGATTATAGAACTGAAGCAGTAAATTTTTTTTTTGCAACATGGAAGTGTCTGCATTAAGAATTACATTGAGTGCCAATATATGAAGCTGCCAACTGTTTCATATATACATTATCGGCCAGGTTCTTTTTTCATGTTTTGCAAAAATAGAACAAGTCTAATTTCCAGCCATCTTGACTGAACAAGTTTGGTCAATGATGGATTTACAGTATCATATAGCAACAAAAATTTAGCTTTGATAAGAATCAAGAAGGACTTGTTTATTTGCATACTACGGGAAAGAGAGCCAACTGTGATGGTGTGTACCTATTTTTCATTTAACAAATTTAAGAATGATGTGATGTGAGAGGTTTACAATGATGACTAAATATCAAAACTCTCAGTGACATGAGATGTCAGAAAGCTGTAAACTTTGTACATTTTGTAAGTCCACTCCATGCAATATTTTTCCTTGTGTGGGATCAAAGCAGGCAATCCGGAAGGGCCTTGCCCACTCAGGGAGCCAATCAAACCACACAATTTATTATCACTTGCCCAAGGGCGCTACCAGCCATATCGTGCAAAAGTTTCACTGTGATTAACAACTGCATCCCTACATGGAGGTTGCATGCCTGAGACATCCAGGAGCCTCTACTATTGGCAGCCAGCTCCTAGATGGAGACTGCTCCAATGGCTGGCAAATCCTGGCAACCCAGCTAAGAACCCCCATGCAGGAAAGGGAAAACTGCCTAGATGATGAGGTACCACTTCAAACAACACCGCAAGTTCACACTCAAAGCACACAAAAGATTGCTTCAAATGAAGAACAAATGAAATTCCGACGCATGCGCATATACAAAAACTGCTGACTACTAGGGAACGCTGATGCTCTTTGTTGTTAACTCTGTTAAATTGCAGTAAACTGCATCTAATAAAAAAAACAGTTGTTACCATTTATCAATGAGTTTGACAAACCTCCTCATACTGGAACTTTCTCTTGCTTACAATCACATCTTCTATCCCTCCTCTGTCTCCATATTTCTTCTCATGTTGAGTGTAGGCTTTGTATAGCTCCTGAAATACATGTAAAACAAAATTTAACAAATAACTATGAGGAAACTCCAGAATTAGAAGAAGATAGACCAAAGATTTGCTAGGCACAAGAAGACTAAGGGCCTTAGCTTAATTTTTCAAAAGGTATCGACAGCAAAGCAACTCCTCTGAGAACAAGCATACACATAATCCACACTTACTTCGCACTCCTCTTTTGGTAAGATTTTCAGAGCATACTGGAAAATGACCCTGACACGATCATGCTGTGTAATAAATAGAAAAAAAAATTAGAGGAAATAAGGTTTTGCATTTGATATACCTTTCTACAACCCTGTGATTCAATCCAATCACAAGGAATCCCAAAGTATGATGCACTAAATGATACAACCACCATTGTGTTCACTCAAATCACTGTAGATTTTCTGTTCTTTTCAAAAAAATTCAAGGGCTCTTTTCAGAGTCACCCAGTTCTTTTCAGAACTACCAAATCTAAAAAAAGTTAATGACTAACATTTAAAGTCCTTTTCTGGTTTTTTTTAAACTGTAAGTTCTGCTAAAATTGTGATCTTCAGATTTTGTTGTGCAAAAGTACTTAGCTGTATAAGAGGCACCCCAATTTTAGCACTAACTTGCTACCAAGAGACACGTTTTGCTTAAATAAATGTGCGCCAAATAACTGATAAAATATGGAAGTGTCAATTAATGCTCTCTTAACAACTTATTCTAACTACTACTCCATACCTCTTTGCAGTTTTCTTCAAATTTTGCAAATGAAAGAAAAAGTTTCTCATCTGCATTTTCTTCCCCAAAAAACTCCACTGCTCTTTCGTAAACATCTCTTGCACCAACTGAAAAAATACAAGATTTCTTATTATCAAGATTTGAAGTACAGTCATGTATATTCAAATCTGTGGATAAAACTCCAAATATTACAATTGTGTCTATCATTCACTCTAACTAAAAGCAACAGAGTAGAAGCCTTTTGGTCAGTCAACGTAAAGAGATAAACTCACAAGAGATTGTGATTAATTCTTTTTCCTGTCTGCCATACAATTCTTATGATATTAGTATAGAGAATTTGGTATCAGACCAAATAATAGTTTCCAAGTAATTGGTCTTTTTCTTTATTCTCATTACTGGTCTGATTTATTCTGTATTGATATTGTAGGGAGAAATTCCTTCTTGGTCACTCATGGAAGTTAAAGGATTAAAACAATTTATAACAATAAGATGATTCACAAATCATTCAAATCAAAATTTACCTGTATTGGACTGTCGCTCCTCAAATTTAGCAAACTTCACCCAATTTTTCACCTCTGGATGCACCATTACAAATCTTTCATATATACTCCTTGCACGATCTACTTCCTTGTATCTGAGCTCCATGTTAATGTAGGAATGCCAAGCTTGTTCATCCGGCTCCCATTCCATCCATCGTTCAAATATCTGCCGTGCACCAGCAACATTAGTGAGCATCTCTTCCATGTAGGTGTACTTGTACCTGTTTTAAGTCAGATGATACTGCTCTTAAGCTCTAAATCTAATTCCATATTGAAGATAATTTCATCTCAAAATTTTGACCCAATATCCTGCAGACAGGTTATGAGAAGAGAGAAAGTAAACTGCTGGATGGTGATATCTTGATAAACCACAAAATTCTCCCAACTGAATTTCAAGGAAATATATGGCAGCTTGATGAGAGAGTGAACATAAGATCAGATTCTGAGAATGGGTTTAGAAGCCACAACAAAAAAATGACTATCAAATGTTTGCTTCAAAGACACAAAATGAACATATCTAGTAAGATCAATTTTCTGCTGACATTTTATCTTTGCCACAAGCACTTTTGATCACTCCTTGTTTTTACTGATGCAGATCAACTTGCACTTTACAAGTCAGAATACCCTCAACTATATACAGATCACTAAGAAGCACTATGTACTAACCAAAACTGGTTTACTCTTGGCAAGATGGTGACAGCTCTGTCCCAGATGTTTCGAGCATGGTTAATCTGGCGATGCCTGTGGAGGTAAAATTTTAATCTCAGATTTGAAAATGAGATGAATTAAGTCTGCATAGAAGACTAGGCCAAAAAGCTGCTGCAGCATGCATGTATCTCTGTGTAAATTTTGTCAACACAAAGTAACTTGTAGCATTGTTGTTCAGGACTCCAGAACAGATGATAATCTGTCACAAATTACCCACTCTCTCCTCTCCTCCCCTACCCTTCTCTCTCCTAATACCTTGTAAAGTTTCTTCTACATTTCTCCTTTTGTTGTTTACCCTCCTGGGTGGAGAGAGGCACTGTCACTTGACCCGATCAAGGTTCAAACCCAGACCCCACAACCCAGAATCAATATCTTATCAAGCAACTTGTCATGTTCCTCTGCTTTGTGCACTGCTTTTAATTAGAAAAAGAACACTTTCTCAGTTGCTTTCACAGTGTTATTCTGACTCACTTTCCATACAGCTTGTCACAGAGGGAGTACGTATGGTCTTCCATAATTGCCCGAAATAAATTGCTGTTTGAGCCTACACTTGTATATAAGTTTTAATAGGCCATTTTACAGTTGTGCGCTTAGTTGCCATGCCTTTGATTTAGAGTGAGGGTGAAGGTGACCATGTTGTGATAGAGACCAGTATTTAGTTAGCATGATAACAAAGTAATTTACATTAGAAAAGCAGCAAGGTTTGTATCATAACAAGGTCACCCCTAGCCTCACTCCTATTCAAAGGCTTGGCAACTAAGCACGCAACTGTAAAATGGACTATTTACAAATAGTTTCATTAATTAAAGATACAATTTACACTTGTCAAACCAGGAACAGACTCACTTCATTTCCATCTCTGCATATTTCAGCCAAATAGTGATATTTCTGTGGTCTACATCTAAAGCTCTCTCATAAACAGACCGTGCTCTGAAAGAGAGAAATCAATGCAATCTTAATACTAACCCCAGTAGGAAATCATAAATTTCAATTAAACAATAACTGCAGAACAGAAGAATAGATCAGAAATGTTTAATACTTTTAACTGTTTAACCCCTTGGAGTGACTAGTATCTAATTTCTCCTTATAATATCACCCAAGGGTCAAACATTGAGGTCATGAGAATAAAGGAAATGATCACTGAGTAAAGCAGCTCTTGATTGTTTAACAAATTCTCCTTGTCAGCACTGAAGGAAACTTATAGAGAAAAGTATAGAGAATGTGGATATTGATTCTGGAGTGTAAAGGGTTAAAGTTCACCTTACTTCTATTTATTTTTCCCTCTTAATTCAGCCAAAACAAACATATGACACTTACACATCCAGTGATGATACAAAATTGTTTTCTAAGAGGTATGGAGTGTTCAGACAAAAAATGGAATAAACTATTCAACATGCACCTAAATTTTCTGAATCTAAACACTTGCCTGATTACCCTGGCTTGTATTTAAAGCCCAAAATTTTCTGATACTTATACCTCTCTATTTTTTAATAACCCTTAAAACCCTAAGAGTGACCAGCATCTAATTTCTCCTAACAGCAATACTGCTAAATCATTCATTTAGACGATGAGAAAAAAAGGAAATGATCACAAGCGTAAGTAGCTTTGATTGTTAAACAAATTCTCCTTATCTGTATTAAAGGAAATGTATGGGAAAGAGTAAGAAGAATTTGGATACTGGTGTTATGGTGTTCAAGTGGTTTATGCAAGATACATGCATATTCCATAAAGTGATAAACATTACACATTAATTCCAGTCCACAGGCACTACAGAAACTGGACCTATTCAATCAAATAACAAATTCATCCTCTACCTTTGAATTTCTCTTTGACTCTCCTCCCACTGAGCATATTTTAACCAGTTACTTATCACTGATCTGTTTTTACGAAGGCTGTCCTCAAATGCCTGACAAGATGGAAGACAAGAATC